ACTGGTAAGAGAGTTAAGTTGAAAGAAGTCTTTTGAATATCCACCAAAATGCAAAGTGTATATACACTCTGACCTGCACTTTCACTTCTAGGAATCTAACTTAAAGGCAGTATTTGCTCAGATATGTTTATGTGTGTTTAGTGCAACATCTCTTCAAAACTGGGGGAAATGGAAAACAATTTAAATGATCAATGGTTAAGTGAATTATGCCTCATCCACACTATGAAATACCATTCAGTATGAAAAAAGTACCTATATGAAAGCACCTGCTGCCCCTCCACAAAAAAAGCACATATTGTTAGAGGAAAAAAAAAAAAATGGCTACAGAATAGATCATATTATTCCTCAAAATTCCTAGCTTCTATGAAGTATTTACCATCAGACTGTAATACCCACAACCCCTCTTTGAGGTAGTCACCTGTCAACTCCCCTTATTCACAGAAAACCTTAGCACTTCAGTTTCTGCCCAGCTACTCCAGTGATATTCCTGAAGATTTCAAAATCAGTATATTCTCTCAGTTTCTTCACTTCCTTCTAGATAAATCTTTTCTTCCATCCTACTTCAGTTACCTCCTCCCATAATCATACCCTAAACTCTGTCATGTTCAATAACTAAACCCAGTCTCACATTTAACCCTCTCACATTTAGACGACGACTTCTAGGTTTCCAACTTTACTTATAAGCCAGTCACCCTACTTTTATAATTCTTTAGCACCATCAAAACTTCCAGTCCACTGACTCTACCACTCTCATTGTCCATCATGTCCTCAATTCCTTCCTCAAACAACCTCCTTAAAACAACCACGGTCCAAAACTACAACAACTTCCTCATATACACCTTCAAGTCCACAGCATCATTCCCTCTGTCATACTTTTGGTAAAATCCTAACCCTCATTAAACGCAACCCATTGCTTACTCCAAAAGTGTTCTAATTGGTCTTATTTCCATTCTTGTCCCATGAGGCAGAGACAGCTAGCTGCCTACCCAGTATTCATTCTTTCATTCCTTCCTAAAACAACCCTAGGGACTTCTCTGGTGGTGCAGCGGTTAAGAATCCGCCTACCAATGCAGGGGACACGGGTTCGATCGCTGGTCTGGGAAGATCCCACATGCCACGGAGCAACTAAGCCCATGCGCCACACCTACTGAGCCTGCGCTCTACAGCCTGCGAGCCACAACTACTGAAGCCTGCGCGCCTGGAGCCCATGCTCTGCAACAAGAGAAGACACCACAATGAGAAGTCTGTGCACTGCAACAAAGAGTAGCCCCCATATGCCGCAACTAGAGAAAGCCCGCATGCAGCAACAAAAACCCAACGCAGCCAAAAATAAAAATAAATAAATTTATAAAAATAAGTAAATAAAAGAACCCTAATTTTACTTAGGAAGTTAATGTACCCAGCTAAAACACTATGCTTCCCAGCTTTCCTGGCAGCTAGAGGGAGTCTGTGACACTCAACTACAAAATACAGGTGAAGTCACCCGGTGCGTCTTTGGAGAAGGCTCTTTAAAAGACCCAATTCAGCTGACATAGGCCCTTCTGCCTTACCTTCTGTCTAGATGGGATTCTACAGAAGGATCAACGATGGTTGATCCACATCACAAGGAGACAGGCACACTTGAAGATGTCTAAACAGAAGAACAAAAAGGAGCCTGCATCCCTGATGTCCTAGAGCTGCCATAATCAGCCCTGGACAGCTTACCTCCAGCTTTTTGTTACTGGAGAAAAGTAAAACTCCTAATTTATTTGAGTCACTATTTTGGGGTCTCTACTATTCACAGTAAATCCAATTCCTAATTCTTAGACCCATTACAGTTTATTCCCCACACAACAACCAGAGACCTTTTAAAAGTATAATTCAGATCATATTACTGGCTTCCCATCACACTTAAAATAAATTTAAGGTCCTTAACAAGCAACTAGGCCTTCTTTGATCTGGCCCTCTATCTCTTCCAACTCACATCTTACCAAATCCCCATACCACCCTTCCACCCTTCCACAACTTGTACACTCAGTTCCAGCCACAGTGTTCCTTAAAGAAGCCAAACTTGTTTCCATCTCAGAGACTTTGCATTTGCTGTTCTCTTCACTGGGAATGCTCTTTCCTCATAAGTTTACTTGGCTTGCTCCCTCATCTCTTTCAGGTAGCAACTCAAATGTTGCCTTCTCTGAGACTTTCCCTGATCACTGTATCGAAAACAGTCTTTTTGTGTCTCAAGTTTCCCTTCCACTCCCCTCTAACTCTTCTTACCCTGCTTTATTAATATATATTAATTTTTTTTTGCTTATTTACTGTACATCTTCCCCACTAGAATGAATTCTCCCTGAGGTCAAGAACCTTGGGTGTCTTCTTCAGCATCATATTCCTAGTACCTGGCACACAGTAAGGACATAATAAGTATATGATGAATAAATGAATATACATCATGATCTTATTTATACTAAAAAAGACTAAAGCATATGTGTGTGAGTGTGTGTGTGTGTGTGTGTGTGTGTGTAAATATATACAGGATCTAGGATATACACTAAACTGTTGACACTCGTTATCTCTGGGGAAGGAAGTGGAAAATAAGAAAAAGGAGAACTTTCACATTTTGCTCTGTATATTCCTGCATAAAAAAGACAAAATTAACTACAACACATGGCAGGAAGAAAATTTTAAACATATTTAGAAATATAAACCTATTTATAGAATCATAAAATTTAGAAACATAGTAACCTCAGTAAGCATAACACTACACCATGGGTAGAGGGATCTATGATTAGTAAGCAAACATCTTTTAAAAGAACAAGAATTAGGGGAATAAAATTTCCTGTTAACGTTTTGTAGCCCTTATAAAGGTTTTTACTGTCATTTAAACAAAATAATAAAGTATACTAAATAAAAAGTGTGTTACACATCAAATTAGTAATGATGAGCTGTATAGAATTAATTTCCATCACTTGCTCAGTAGAAACTTTTAAACATCTCCCTCCCTTAGGGATTCATCTAGATAATTATATATTTGTTTTGTTTCAGAAAATATGCATTCTAAGAGACATCTTTTTTTTATCAAGTTCTCCAAATGTCTAGTGCCTTAATTTTTTTTACTTTATCGAGGCATATTTTTACATATTATATAATTCATCCATTTCAAGTATATAATTCGATGATTTTTAGTAAATTTACCAAGTTGTGGAAAACACCATAAATCAGTTTTAGAAATCTTCATCGCTGTAATAAAATCACTCATGACCATTTACTGTTAATCCCCATTCTCATCCCTACTCAATCAACCATTAATCTACTGTCTGTCTCTATACTTCTGTCTATTCCTAGACATTTTCTATAAATGGAAACAGACAATATATGGTCTCTTTTATCTGGTTTCTTTCACTTAGCATCTTTTTGAGGCTTATCCATCTGGTAGCATGTATCAGTGGTTCATTCCTTCTTATTGCTGAATAGTATTCCATTACATGGGTATGCCAATATTAGTGCCTTTTGATTTTATGACTTGGATTTCCATTTTTCAGGTTATACAATGAGTGTAGGATAACCTGGGTACTTGGAGTATGGGTGGGGGGAAACCTATTTAACGCTTATTTAACACAAATGACACAGGTGAGTGTTTTTCAAACCCAATCCAGTTTATGCAGAATGAGATTGTCCTAGCTTCACTCAACAGCATTATGCTATCAGTCGCTTTTAAAACCATTTTCCTGTCCCTCCTTCTTAACAGGAACGAAAGAACAGTTCCCCAAGGTATCCTTCTCTTTCCCAAGGCTTAGAAAAAATCTCTACACTCACTATGCCTTCTGCTTTACCTCCTTTTTCTACCTCCAAGTCCCTGTTTTCTCACTATCTTCAAGCTGACAGCTTCAAAATTTCCATATTCTCCAAGTTTCTGAAAAGTTATATTAAAACTAAATATCTGCATATTCTGGAATTTTATTTAAGAGAAATCTGTGGTTCTTTTGATGTAGTCTCCGAGCATAATTTGTTTCTATGTAGAAAAAAGCTTTGTAACTGATTTAAAACGAAAAACAAAAAAACTCACACCACCAATACAAAAGGAGCATGAGGACCCAAGTCAGCATTTGACACTCTCATTTAAAAGAAAAGATCAAAGAATATACAGTAATTAAGCACAGTTTTTTATCTTTTCGTTTTAACATGACCTTATTAAATACTGATCTTTTTCAGTCTAAAATGCCACCATAATGTTATTGTCTTGCCTCTGTTTTATGATGATGTCTGATTCAGATTAAGTGGATTATTTGCCTTTATAAAACATTAAATATCTACATGTAGAATGATTATCTAATCGTTTATGAACTTGGGTAAGGGATGGTGGTTCAGGGAGAGGGCTGGGGAAGGATGATACAAATCTTATAACATACTTCTTATTACCAGTCTTTCTGAAGTCTTATCTTCCAAGTGATTCCCAGACTATTAGCTTGAAAACATCAAAAATAAGATGATGTGGACACAGCTAAAAGCTTTCCCAATGGTAAATGTTCTCTAACTAGAAAATTATTCCACTACCCTTACCAGTCTAAGTTACATTTCTTCTGGAGTACTTAACAGAGTGAAAGCAGTAAAAGATAATACCAGCTACACGTAATTAGAGGAACCTTGCAAGATAAAGAAAAATAAGACAAGCTATTATTATTAAAGCTTAAATGTTAGCTTTTATCTAACATTTAAATGCCAAGAATACCACTCTTGGTGGCCGGTTATTGCAGCAGGTGTGTGATAGGCCGTGTGAGCTACATTTTCATCTTTGAAAGGACAGCTTAAAAGGGGTTCTGAGTTAAGGTTTACTCTACTTCCATTATAGCTACAGAATCTAACTAGACCAGTATAAGGTAGGGTACAGAAAGACAGGCTCTGCATTATAAATTTTAAAACTCCCTAGTAAATCAAAAATCCCACTAAGCATTCTTTAATGTCATCATTTCAATTAACTTTAAGAAAATGAATGGCATAATGATATGTATACTGTTATACTGTACCTTTCTCAGGCTTTCATATTCCTCACGAAGTTCCCCAGGCTTGCTTAATTTGATTGGTGCTCTGAATATAAACTCTGCAGGAAAGGGAAAAGAAAACACTTTTTAACAGAACTTTCTAGGAAGGAACCAAGATCTTGTCCTACTGCTGCCCCCACATCATAAACCACATAAAAATTGTGGTCATCTTCCACAATTTGAATATTCATTCATTCATTTAATGAATACTTATTAAAGGGTATAAACCAGGCACAGTTCTAAGCACCGGGGAGAAGCACTGAACAAATAAAGTCCTTACTATCATGGAGCTTACAATATTGTGGGGGGAAACAGACAATAAACAAGTGTGTGTATATAATACAACTGGTGGTACTAAGGGCTATGGAGGAAAATAAACACAGGCTGGAAGATTAGTTTATCAATATAGAGTGGTCTGAAGGGTCTCACTGATAAAAGTAACATGTTAAAAGACCTCAAGGAAAACTATATTTAAAACTCCTAGTTCAATGTTACCAAGTAACATTTTAAATAAGCTAAAGTTTTACTCATAATACTTTGTTACTAATGTTTCTTTCTACTTCTTTTTCAACATTGCCAACAGACTATTTTCCTGTATACAACTTATATTTTCAGTATATAACCTGATTTTTTATCCTCAAAGCCTTCAGTGGTTTTGATCAGCTTACAGAATAAAGTCAAAACTCTTCAATATGTCACTCAAGGTTTTCCAGAGACTGATCACAACTTTATCCTTCTAAAGCACTGTCTCTCTCATCTGTTGACTATCTGGCTACAATATATATATGCCATATACTCCTAACCCTTTTATGCTGTTTCTCAGCTGAAATTCTCTTTTCTCCCCTTCTCTATATCCAGGCCCACAGGAGGCACACAATACACACTGGTTATATAAACAATAAAAATCCAACTTAAGGGCTTCCCTAGTGGCGCAGTGGTTGAGAGTCCGCCTGCCGATGCGGGGGACACGGGTTTGTGCCCTGGTCCGGGAGGATCCCACATGCCGCGGAGCGGCTGGGCCCGTGGGCCATGGCCGCTAAGCCTGCGCGTCCGGAGCCTGTGCTCCGCAACGGGAGAGGCCACAGCGGTGAGAGGCCCGCGTACCGCAAAAAAAAAAAAAAAAAAAAAAAAAAAATCCAACTTAAGAACAGGAATAAAAGATAAGTCCTAAATGCTATCAAAAAGGAAGGAAAAAATATGCACTTCTGTCTCCTTAAATGTACATGACACTTCGATACACCCCTATGTATATTTAGAGACTTAAACACAGTATTTATTTGAAGACTTACTAACAACTCTATATCCCATTCAGGTTGATAATATTTGTTGTAGAAAAGTGGGCTCCTCAAAAAGTTGACTTTTGTCCTTTTTCAGTTGTCTCTACTACCTTAAAAAGACTCATATACACCAGAGAAATGTGGAAGATTCTTAGACAGAAACACTGGACGTAATACAGATGCAGAAAACAGTAACTTAAAGCTGCTGCAGAGAATTATTAGACCCTGGTCTTGGGAGGCAAACAGTACATCACCTTCACCCACTTAAAAAAAAAGTCCTGATGACTATTTTAATCATATCTCTTAAGTACATTTCTAATTATAGGCAAATAGTATCTAAAACCAGATGCTTTAAAAGAGGAGGGGAAGAAGGAAGAGAAAAGCAAAACCCTTAGTCAAAAAAATTCTTTTAATCCATTTATGGAGAACCTATAACCTGAATGATACTTTATATTTTCTCAGTGAATCTTCACAGAAACTTTATAAGGTAGGTATTACACCCATTTACAATAAGGAAAATGAGAGGTTAATGACTTGTCCAAGGCCACAGAACTAGCACATGGTAAAATTAAGAGAAAAAGAATTAACAGGTATAAAGAGGGAAATTACATAATGATGAAAAAGGCAACCCATCAAGAAGCTATAATAATTATGCACTTGTATGAACCTACAACAGAGCAAAAAAAAAAAGATTATAAGAGAAATTAATAAATCCAAAACTATAGTAAAAAATTGTAACACACCACAATTAAAAACAGGTAGATCAGGAGGATCAAGGGTAATAAAAATATAGAAAAATTGAACAATAAAATTAACAAACTTGATTATATATATTTATACATATTTATGAACTCAATGAACAAAATATAGATTCCTTAAAGCAAACAAGGGACAATTAAAAATACACTAGGGGGCTTCCCTGGTGGTGCAGTGGTTGAGAGTCCGCCTGCCTATGCAGGGGACACGGGTTCGTGCCCCGGTCCGGGAAGATCCCACATGCCACGGAGCAGCTGGGCCCGTGAGCCATGGTTGCTGAGCCTGCGCGTCCAGAGCCTGTGCTCCGCAACGGGAGAGGCCACAATAGTGAGAGGCCCGCGTACCACACACACACACACACAAAACTGGAAAAAAAAATACACTAGGGCTCAAAGAAGTTGCAAAAAATTTCAAAGTATTCATATTATACAGACTTTGCTCTTGGATCTTAGTTGCCATTTTCCAAGCCAAGTTCTGTAGCTACCTGGCTGATTACTTTGGACTGCCCACTATTCTTTCTCAATAAATTCCTTACCTGCCTAAATTTGGCAGAGTACATTTCTGCTGATTAAAACTAACAACCACTGGCTGATTCTATTTTTCACATGGTACTATGAGATGACTAATAAGCAAAACTCTACTAAAACTGCTTAAGAAAAAAAAGAGATGACAAATTAATACTAAGAATAAAACTGAGGACCAAATGAGAGATATCAAAGCGAGTTTAAGTCTCCAGCAACTATCAAAACAATGTTATAATGAGTAATCTTGCACATACATCATTTTGCATGTCTGCAAGTATATCCATAGATTAAAGTGCTGGAATCAGAACTGCTGAGTCAAAGAATATGTGCTTCTGTAATTCTGACAGACAATACCAAATCACCCTTCATAAAGCCTGTACAGATTTATAATCCCACCAGTGATGCATGAGAGTGCCATTTCCTCACACCTTTCCCAGCACAATGAGGGCTGAAATTTTTAGCTTTGCCAATCTAATTGGTGAAATTCTGTATCTTATGCACTGAATGAGTGAAACTGAATACTTTTCACATGTTTGAGTAATTTGCATTTCCTTTTATATGAAAAGTATATACATTTCCTTTACTCCTGTTGGAGTTAACTTTTTCTTCCTGATTTGTTAAAGCTCTGTCTAGGTAAGGAAAATTACCCTTATGTCACATGAATAGCAATACTTTTCCTAGTTTATCATCTGTCTTGACTTTGCTTATAGTGGTGATTTTTGTGTAGTTACATTATTCAAACTTCTCCTTTATGGCTTCTGCATTTTGTATCATATTTGGAAAGACCTTCCTCAGGCCAAGATACAATAACAAATTCTACCACAGTTTCTTCTGGTACAAAGTATAAGATTCTTCTCATATCTACTTTTAAAAATTCTATATCTATATTTTTATTTGGAAGCAACATAAGGAGCATAATGTTATTCAGTCTTTTATTAAGTCTACTATCCAACACAAGGGACCAAAAATATTTTAATGATACACTAGTAAAAATGATTATAATTTTTACTCACTGTTAGAGAATTTGCTTTCTCTAAAATAGTTCTTGCTGACATTTAGAAGAAAATGTCCAAAGAGGATAACAGCTTCATTATACAGTGTAAATAATACAAAATTAAAAGCCTGATCCCCAAAACTTAGAAGCTTCCAGAGTCTTGGATAAGTCAGTCTCAACTTCCTCTTCTGTAAAACCAGAATAATACCTATTATGACAGGCCATTATGAGGATCAAATGAATATAATGAGAGTGAAAATACTTTGTAAACTATTTTCAGCCAGTAGAGTGGCATGCAGTAGAATCTGATAACTATAAAATTTTCTCTGGTGTTGGTGAGATAAAGAAATGGTAGTTTGGTTTGATTTATTTGCAAGTACAACTTACAAGAAACAAAGATAATGACCCAACTGCTTTGATACATATATTATACGAAAAGTTAAATTCACTTTGGGATACTTAAGAAATCTCAAAGTTCATAATATAAGGCCAAGCAGGAACTCGGAACACTGACTGAAATATTACTATGCCTTGACTCATTTGAGAGTAAAAGGTAATGGCAAGGGTAGGGGTGGAGTACTAATTTATATTCACCAAAATTAGTACTGGTATAAATTAGCTTACTCTTGGATTAAGATTAATGATGTTTAATGCTTTAAAAATACAAAATGTGAAATAGTCACTTTTTGCAACTTCTTCCCCCAACAGGACTGTGCTACATCAACTGGCATCATGCCCAAAAGCTCAAAAAATTACATAGTCAACAAAGTAACTCTTGCATACAAAAACAGTTAAGCATAACAGGTCATGAATAGGTCCAATATGACATTAATTTAAATATTTAAGCCTATTTCCTATTTTAGTAACGCCCTCTAGAAATGTCAACAAGGCAAAAAAAAAAAATTCTTTTTTTTTCCCTACTGGCTTGCAAAAAGAGCATATTAGGTTCTGATACCTGCTCTGTCAATTAAGTGAGAGTATTTAGATACATCAAAGCTTCTCTCTGCCTTGGTCTCACCTGTCAAGTGGAAATTAAAATATTGGCCAAACCTACCTCCATAGAAATGCAGAAGACCACAATTAATAGTAGTAGTAGTAATCAGTGAAGAATCACAATAATAAATAAAAACAGCTAACATTTAATAAGAGCACACTATATGCTAAATGTTGCACATACACACACACAGAGAGAATGCAGAAAAGACTTAACAATAACAGGCCTAACTTAAGATAGGCCTAACCTATCTTAAGGCCTGCTTACAGGGTTGACCCTTGCCTGGTGCCTAGGAACTTGGATCTCAGGAGAGTTCCCACCCTCTCTGATTAGGTACACGTTCACTGTACCTAAATTGTTTGTAGAACAGTGTAATTATGCTGAATACCTTCTTTCCTGATGGGATTCTAGAATTTGGGTATAATGCTAGGCAGACAGTCCTTACATGATCAGCCCCTAATAAACACTCTGGGCACTAAGTCTCCAAGAAGCTTCCCTGGCTGGCACCATTTAA